GGCGCTGACGGCAGCGAACGCGGGCATTGCGGAGGACACGGGGAATTTCTCGAACGAGGCGGGGGCGTTGTATTATATGCAGCAGCAGCAGCAGTTCGACTCAATGCCGAGGAGGGGGCGCCGCCAAGGCAGCAGCCCACGACGATCTCCGAGGGCGACGACGAGTCGGAGGAGGAAGAGGATGATGATGATGCGGAGAAGAAGCCGGCGGGTGCGTACGACGCGCCGTACGCGCAGCCGAGCCACGTGCAGCGGCAGAGCACGCCGATGGCGTTCCACCAGCAGGCGGACGCGACGCGGTCGCAGGCGACCTCCTCGCCCGTGCAGAGCACGCTCTCATCGCTGTCGGGTAGCGGGCCTGGGGTGGGCCGGAAGCCTTCAGGGGCACGTGCGCCGGCCAGCAAAGGAGGATACCGTAACCCAACTAACGCCGAGCGAGGCACGCTCTCGGCAGGCCCCCCTCCTTCTGAGCCACTCACTGAGGAGACGGATTCCCAGAGCGAAATGAGCAGCGTGCATCCGCCCCCGCCTGCGCCTGCGTCGCCACCGACGAGGCATTCGAACGAGGACCTGGATGCGCTGGCGGCGCTGTCGTACCTGGACGTGAACGAGAACGAGGGGCAGGGGCAGGGGCTGGCATACGACGAGCCGGTGAAAACGACGGCGCCGTTGAGGCCGTATATGGCGGAGCGCGTTGCCTCGGGTGGGACGCCTGGGGAACGGGTCGCGACGCCGCCAGCTGAGTTCAAGTCGTCGTTTGCGCCGTCGAAGCAGGCGGCGGAGCGCAAGGCGAAGCTCGAGGCGCAGCAGGCCGCGCACAGCGCGGCGGTGCACCGTCCGGGGCGGGCGAATGGGCGCAAAAAGGCGAAGACGGGGAATCAGGGGGCCTGGGGCGAGAGCAGCGACGAGGAGGAGGAAGAAGACGAGGAAGAGGACGACGACGATGCGGATTCGGACCAGGAACCGTCGCAGGCGAATCGGCAGCCGTCGGCGCCTGGATCAGCCAACAACCACTCGATGCGGGGAGGGCAGCAAGGGTATGGCGGACAGCAGGGGTACGGCGGACAGCAAGGATATGTTGAATCTCCTCAGCAGTACGGAATGCGGGGAGGGCAGCAGGATTATTTCGGTGAGGACGCCCAGCAACATCTCCGGCCTCCGCGGACGCTGCCACAGGTTCCCCCTCGCCCCTCTGGTGCGTGCTTCCTTCCATATTGGCTGTCGTAAAAAGTTCGCTGATGTTGACACGCGATGTACAGCCGACTCGGATGGGTTTCAGCAGCGCCGGGTGCCGTCAGATCAGTATTCCCAGGCGGGGCGACGGACGTTCCTCGACGACGGGACGCAGCTGCGCAGCCAGGCAGAGATGCCCCTGCCAGGCGCGCCGCGCCAAAACATGTGGAGTCAAGTGCTCGACCCCGGGCGGAAGGATCCCAACGCGCCTACGCCATCGGACAAGTTCGTGCAGCTTGACGATACGAAGCTCACAAAGGCGTTTACCCCGCACGGGCTGCTGTCGGCGGGGATGCAGGACAAGCAGGATCGGTCGGCGAAGAGGCAGGAGGAGTTGGCGAGGGAGAGCGGCGCGTCGCTGATCAACGTTCCGAATAAACCCCCGCCGCCGCAGACAGGGCTGCTCGGCGCGATTACCGCCCACGAACGAGACCGCCAGCGCGAGGGTGGCGTCGGCGCGGCGCTGACGGAGCGCGAGCGCGAGAAACGTGTGGCGGAGGATCGGCAGCGCAGGTTCGACGAACACCAGAAACAGCAGCTGGACCAGATGCAGCAGGGCGGGTCGATGTACGGCGGGCAGGGCGGGTACCCGGGCTTCAATCCCATGATGAACCCGATGATGATGGGTATGAACCCAATGATGACGGGCATGAACCCGATGATGGGGATGAACCCAATGATGACTGGGCAGGGCATGAATCCTATGATGACGGGGCAGATGGGCTACCCCGGGATGATGCCTGGCTACAATCCCCAGCACATGTTCGTCGCCCAGCAAGCCGCGGCGCAGGCGTACCAGCAAGCGATGATGGCCTTCTCGACGGCGGGCTCGCAAGTCGGTGGATCGCAGATGGGCGGAGAGGGTGGCGGCGGTACGCCCGGCGGCCAGCCTTCGCAGATGAACCCGATGATGACTGGGGGAATGTTCGACCCGCGCATGTCGATGATGGGTATGCCCATGATGAACTCACCGATGGGCCCGCCAATGGGTGGTATGCCCATGCAGATGACGGGCATGTCGGCCTTCGATCCTCGTTTCACCCCCAGCAACGGGAATGGCTCCCCCGCGATGGACCCCCTTGTGCCACCGCAGGGCCAATTTGGGTCGCGCACGAGCTCTCCTGGGCGTGGGTCTTCGTCACCGCACCGAGGATCCCCGCTCATCCGTCCCGTCGACCAAAATGACACTGGCCCGGGCGGACGAGTTTCATCGCGGCCGACAAGTCCCAAACCATCATAATAGTTTCAGTTTTCGTTTATTCGTTTCGTGTTGGTGATTCTCAAAATTTACTAGCCTAGATATCCGTTATAAGTACGATACCATGCTATCATCCCGTTCCTTACAGTTTGTTTTCCTCCTGCTCATCAATGGACTCATATATGCAACGTTGAAGATACTTTTATTTATTGTAGGAACAGCGCATTTACCTGTTGCGCGAGGAGCGCGAATCTTATTGAGGATCCTGAATAGCTTGAATTGATTTGAGTACGTTCGAGACTTGCGATTGCCAGGTAATCGGGGAATGCAACTAGGCATGGAAGAGTGGACCAAGCACCTTGTCCGAGTGCTTTGATCTTGAACCTTGTACTACGTATTCAAACTATTCGAATTCTACAAGGCCAACCACCAGGCTGTGGCGGCTTCAACTTGAACGCGTCAAGATCAGGGGGCCTTTGCAGCTTGCTCGTCTCCTTATCCGCGGCTTGCCCTTGGATTAGTCAAAGTTAAAAGTTGCTGGTAGCACGGAATCGCAGTGGATTGGCTTTTACTGCATGAATCTCAAAGGCGACGTCCGAGTCCACTTCGGCCTTTCCCCGCTATATTGTTAGCAAACCTATCGCCGCAAGAGAAGAGTCGGAACTCGTCGGAGCCGCTGTTGACTTGCGGCGAGTCACTCGATAGGAAAACATAAAAGCTTGCTAGGAACTCTCGCCGGGCACCAACACCATGACCAACACATCCTCAGACTCGATCAGCGTCATCTCGCGGCATACTGTGCTTTGGGCCAACGAATCGTCCTGGAAAGCCCTCGATTCGCCGTTTCTCCTCGGACCCTTCGATCAGACCGCAGGTTTTGTACCAATACAGGTTGTCTGGGTCTATGCACCACCTGACTCCAGCATCGAGCTAATCCCAGTGGCACGCCTTCGACGCGCTTTGGAACTGCTTTTGGACCACTACCCTCAACTCACTGGGCGCCTTCAGATTAATTTACGCGACGGAACGCGCGAAATCGCCCAATTGAACACCGGCGCTGAACTTGTTGAAGCTCGATGCACCGAGCGGCTGGATGCATTTTCTTCTCCCGGTCTCAGTTCCCCTGCGTCACGTCGCATCTTGATGCAGGACCTACCCAATGCTGGCAACGCCTTACTCGCCCCATTCGACGCCACTCCAGGCAGCGTCCGTGACCCCATCTTCGCCGTTCAGCACACGCGTTTCGCATGCAGCGGCGTTGCGCTGGGCGTGCGGGTCCACCATACAGTTTGTGACGCCGACGGCTTCTTCCTGCTGGCGCGCGATCTGGCGGAGTTGTATCGCGGCCAGTCCCCCGAGATCAATCCCGTCCCCTCGTTGGCTCACCCTCCTCACATCCGTCCCTACATGGCGGAACTGGTTGGTGGTAATATCAAGCCAGAGGAACGGCAAGCGGCTCTTGACTTTCAACCGCCATTCTTCCTCGCAGGGCAGCTCGCGGAAACAGGCGACACCGTCGCAGATACCCCTTCCTCGTCCACCACTGCTTCCCTGCCGCCTCCCCCTCCCGTCGAGGGCCGTTTCTTGCGCTTTTCCAGCGCTCGCCTTGACGCCCTTAAGGCTCAGGCTACGGACCCAAATGGCGGCGGCTGGATATCCACCTTCGACGCGCTGGCGGCATATATCTACCAGCGTGTCTATCAGGCGCGCCTGCGGTTGAGTGCAAGCGACCCCGATTTCGGAGAACTCTCTCCTTCCGACTTCCTCACCCCCGTCAATCTGCGGAGCGGCCTTGGCCTCCCAGCACGGTATTTTCCCAACGCGCTTTTCGCCTCATACACAACCATCCCTGCCGACATCCTCGCAACCGGCCCGCTTTGGCAGGTCGCCAAAGCAGTCCACGACCTTACGCACTCGAGGTGGTTGACATCCAAGGATGAGATTGACCGCAGTCTCAAATGGATCTCGGCGCAGGACGACGTGCGCAAAGTCGATTGGGGCTTCCGGTACGGGAATGGAAGCTTGATGGTCAGCCAGTGGAACAAGTTCGACATGTACGCGGGCTCGGTATTTGACGTTGCGCCTCTGCTGGTTTCGCCGCCATTCACGCAGAGTTCTTTGGTTGATGGGTTGGTTTATCTTTTGCCAACAGAAGAGATAGGCATGGGCGGAGATGCTGGGGCCATCGATGTCAGTTTATCGTTGAGCGCAACAGTGTGGGAATTCATAGATCGGGATGGGCATGTCATATAATGTCAGAAGACCATTATGTAGTTGTAAATTCCGCCTTAGCCGAAGTATCTTGACTCTTGAGCGAGCCAAGTCTTTTGAGGAAGAGCGGCGGGTGCGATTGGATGCGCTACAACTTTGAAGGAACGTCATGTTAACTTTGGGAAGAAGAAACATAGCAGTATGGCGCAGATGGAAGCCCGCGGGGTCATGTCTGCTGTCGAGGCTGCGTTAGCGACCGACTCCTTTAACCAAGGAAGCGGTCACGGTGGCGAAGAGGCAAGTGCAATTCGGTCCCTAATTTGATGCGTTATATTGCTGACCTTGTAGGGGGAAAGACAGCAGCATGGCGCAGATGGAAGCGCGCGGGGCCCATAGCTTATGTAAGCTTGGTACCCCGAGGTCACTCGATCGAAACGAGTTGCTGCTATCTATTTTGGCACCCAAATTTTTTCATCGACCTAGTCCTTATTCTGTCGCTTCAGTCTTTGCTCTCTCCAAAGTCAATATGTTGTGAGGGTCATCGTTTTGATTTTTTTTCCAACTTCCCTTGCCAAAACCCGAGTACAATGTCACTCATCCTCTGTCTATGAATTGCACTACCATACAACTTGAAAGGTGGACGAAGATTACAATTCATCCATAGATTCAGAATCCACGGCAGCTCCCTTGTAAGCCGGTTTCGGCCTGGGACGCAGTTTCACCGCCTGCGCTGGCCCCGACTCGGCTTCCACCACCTCTCCTTGAAATTCGGCTCCATCCTCGGCAACCACTTTCTTCCGGGAAGAGCCCCTTTTGGCGCCCTGCCCACGAGAACGCCCAGTGCCGCGCTTAGGAGCCGCGCCTTTCTTGGTTTTCCCCGATTTGGCCTTCTTGCGAGGGACCTCGTCGTCTTCCGACTGGGAATGTCCATCCAGGGCCTCGGCCGCTGGGGATTTCGACCCGTGTTTCCGTTTCTTCCGGAAATCAGATACGACCTGCTGCAGACGCTTGCTCGCGTATGCTTGACGTTTGCGGGGAGCAATTGTGCCGCTGCCTGTGATATCGAAGTAGCCATTGAGGTCTCCCTGCTTGTTCAATGCGCCGCTCTACAAAACTCGTGAGCTGGATGGCGGAGAATAACGAGTGTTTTAGCTTACCTGGCCACGCTGCCGGATTTTTTGAATGATAGGTAATAAGAGCTCCTCTACCTTTGCAGGGGACCAGCTAAGCTCTGCGTATAGAAACCTGAAACAAAGTGAGATCTCAAGCATGGCAGGAGTATATCATGACCTACTCTCGGAGGGCATCGAGGTCAGGCAACCCCCATTTGAACGGTTCCTCCGACGAATCGACGGTAGGGTAGTAATACGCGTCCCTCTGAAGGACGTCACGCCAGGGAGCGAGAAAACGACAGACAAACATACCACGGTCGGATTGGGCCATTCCGGAGGAAGGTAAAGATCTTTAAATTTTGTCTTCTATAATTGTGGTGAATACACAGACACTGAAGAAAGCAAGAATACTCACAAATCGTTTCCTGAATTTAGATTTATTGTCCTCGGGCTTATCCTTTCCAGACTGCACCTTCGTCCACCAGTCTTTGAATTTGTGCAGCCCGTCCTCTCCAGGAAACTCGTCGAGAAGTTCCATCGCGACGACTGGCCCGATGCCGGGAAGTCCGTCGACGTAATCACTACCAAGAAGATACGCAAGTCTAATCAGCGTGTCGCGATCCAAACCCAGTTCGCGACTCAGGTCAGAGAGGAGGAAGCACTCGACCGTCTTCGACTGGTTGAACATATTTTTGAACACGCGCTGGCTGCCAAAGAGAAATACGTCTGAATCGTCCGTAATCACGCCGTTCACGAGGCCCAGATGGACGAGCTCGGCGCATTGTGCCTCGGCCTCCATCGGCGCGGTGATGTAAGGGATACCGAATAAACTCAGCATCATCTGCTCACCGTTTAGAAAATCTTTGCGCTCCAAGTTCATAATGCAAAACACGCACCATGATCTGCGATATCATCTGTTGGTTGATGTCCTCCGAATCCCGCTGGGCCGCCTTCTTCTGCGCATTTAACACTCTGATCTCGTCGTCGATTTCTTGCTGGACCTCGTCCAAGTCTTTGCCTTTAACCTGTGACATGAATTGCGCAAACTCGCTTTCTTCGGCGACGGGATCCATCTCTTGTGCAGCGTCCCAGTTCTCGGGAACAGGCGAACGCGCCCGCGGCTGCGGCTGATCTATGCCAACGATCGGTGAGGGCGACCTTGACCAGCCGCTGAGAGCTTCGTCGTCTTCTTCAAAGTCCGTTCTTGGATGCGGGTGCTGAGGTAGTGGTTCTGTTTCGAGGGCGGGCGGTGTAACTGATTCCACTTCCACGGGGTGGCGATGCGGAATAGGCTCTACCTCATCGGGTACGACAATCAAGGGATCTCGGTCCTCTACTGCGACAGGTGGTTCACTGACAAGAAATGGCTCGAGGGGGTCACGGGGAACAATCTCTGCGACCGGCAGTACAGGAGATTGAGGTCGTGGGGGTGTAGATGGTATTATTATAGTAGCTTCATCGTCCACCTCAGTCAATTCAGGTTGCGCCGAGGAAGCCACGATTGTCGACGAAAGTGCGCTGCTTTCTGTACGCTGAGGTGGAGGTAATATCCCCTCCATCTCCATTGCATCAGATACACGAGGAGATTCTACTCGGATTCGAGTCGGCGTACGCGGAGGTGTCGAGGGTCGGGGATCGTGCAACAAGACGGGTTCCCCAAACGCTAATGGTGCAGCCCGTAGCTCGGGTACCGTTTCCTTCGTCTTGGTAGGTATATCTGACTGGAGCCCGAATTTCAGAGGTTGTATTACAGTACGCCTCGCCAGGGGCGACGGAGAGGCTGGCGCTCTCGACGGTGCAGACGAAGGCGAGGCCTGGAGCAGAACCGGCTCCCCGAACAGGGAACCCCCCGGCATAAGTTTCGATTTCGATTTCATCGGTGTCCGCACCAATCCCGCGTTCGCAATAGACAACACGGTCTCCAGTCGGTTTCCATGTACAAAAGCGTCCTCGGCGTAGTGAGAATAATGAGAAGAGGACTCGGATGGGCGGTCGACGAGCTTGGAGGATGACGCGACGGCGTTGACCTGCACGGGGCGTTGCGGGCGAGAAGACGCCTGACCTTTGGCTTGATCAACGGATTCCTGGATCGCAAACGCAAGGTCCCCGTCATCTTCATCGTTGATGGGATGCACGGTGTTGTGGTCGCCTTTATCCTGTTCGATGGACTGCTGAATTGCCAGAGCCAGCTCCCCATCTTCGTCGTCATCGTCAATTGTAGGAGCCACGACGTCGGAATTAAACAGCGGCCGCGCAACTGGAGCTGCCGCCGCCTTTCTCGGCAGTGGGGGCTGTTTCGTGTGGCGATTGGCGATGGCGGCAAGATTCATGGATCTCTGGAATTCTTGCAGGTCAGGATCCGGCATGCCAACTGAAGGTCTAACATCACAGGATTAGCGCACTCGAGCCGCGTAAACAAACATACGGACATGATAACCTCTTCCATATCGTCCATATCTTCATCACTTTCATCATCTGGGACTTCCTTCTTCTCGTCCTGGTCAATTTCAATCGGTTTTTCCCGCGTCCCGTCGTCTCTGACACCGAGAATCCATCCCCCATCCTTGCCCTCATTCTTTATCAACACGTACTCTCTGTTCCGCTCGCTGGCGACGCGCACAGGGATGGAAATGTGCGCCTTTCCGATGCTGTCGGTGGTCATGAGGAGCTGCTGCGTCAGCGTGTTCCGCTGCTTCAGATTCAGGATCTGCTGCTTCGAAAAGTCGAGCGGCGTGTGCGCGCTCCGGAGCATGTTCTGCAGCCGCGCGTACGACGTCTGCCGCGACTTGAGGCGCAGGTCGCCGACGATCTCGTACTGGACTTCGGTCGGGAGCTCGCGAAAGGCAGGTGACGTAACGTCAAAGTCTTCCGGGCGCATGTCCTCGATGAAATCGCGCAGTTCGTCCTCGGTGGCTAAGCGCGGATCGGGGACTGGAGCGCGAGTCGCTTGTGCGACGGCGGCTTCGAGGTCGATGTCTGGCAGGCGGTACGGGTCGTGGTCATGGAATTTGGGCTTGCTGGGGGATACCGTCGGCGTTTCTGTGGGTTTGCGCGGAGACGCCTTGGGGATTGAGGGGTCAATGTCTTCGAGATATACGGTATTTTCGTCGATTATAACCGGGCCGGTTGGTGCTTTGCCTTTGCCTTTCGCGGGTTTTCTGCCCAATTCATTCGATCGTGAATACTTGGAAGGAATACAGCACATACTTCGGGCCCTTGGCTTGATCCACGGCCGCTCGCCTAAGCTGAGCAGCGAGGAGCTTTTCGGCGAGTTTGGCATGACTTATAGCCGCTCCAGTCTTCTTGCGTCTACGCTCGTTCTGGGAAAATAAATATCAGGAATTTCAGACCACATGGCAACTCACGAGAGTATTTCGCTTCAACGCTGGGGCACCTCCGTCGAAAACAAAGACAGGTTTGATACCATAGAATAACAGTTTAGCTATCCTCCGCAGAAAGCCAAGGACATGTGAATTTGACAGTGCTTTCCCGTCGTTATCGCGCATAGTAGCCTGGAATTGGTAGATCCAGATGCTCGAGTCAATTGCCATGACCTGGCCTTCCATAGTCTCGAGCCTAACTCAATTTCTCAGCCACGAAAAACGAAACGAAGCTGGAGAAGCGCGACATTACGGGCCTCCCGACTGGGGTGAGGAGCTTCCACAAGGATTTGACACCCATCGCAAGCTGAGCCCATGAAGGTCAAGAACAAGAGACGCGCCCCTCTACGTGACTCTGAATATTACGTCACGGTATCGTATCTCGGCAATCACCGATTTGCGATTGCCGATGTATTTAAAACTCCGCCGGCGCCTAAATTTTGTCTTTGAGGACTTGTCCTCCCCGTTCATGGTCGACGGGGTTCGCCTTTCCGACTTACGGTAGTGGCCGCGGATGGATAACGCCCTTCGCTATCGACCGTGCCCTTTGTAGCAATGCAATTGTGCCGAGGTATTTTCCTCCATCTCCTTGCTTTTCGTTGCTCCGCGTCTAACCTTGGCCAGGTTCTCCATCCACATGCATAGCCCGCTGTGCATGCCGTCTAGCAGCCATGCCAGCGCCCTAGCGCAAGGTTCGCCGCCGGATGTTGGTGGGAGGTGCGATCCTTTATTTCGTTGTCTCTTTCCCCTCTCATTCGTTCCTCCAGGTTCCATTTTCACCCGAAGTGCTTGTCGACGGCATCGCATCGCAATGCTGTTGACCCTTCTGGGGCAAGTGGTCCAACTTAGGTGCGTTCTCTTTTCTCTCGTTACCGTTGTCTGACTTTTTATTAGTGTCGTTGTGTGTTGCCGTGATGAAACCCGCAGTGCTGCGCTCCTGCCCTGTCTTTCACATA